CTAGTAGGTAAATACAACATTCCGTATTGCACATGTGCAATAAAGAACGCTGTATTTCATGGTCTGAAAATTGCTTGTATTTACTATAACAGGATTCAATCCAAGGTATGTGATAAATGTATGTACCACAGCAACCACAAAACTGGGAGTCGTAACATATTTGTCAATGAATGTTTGAATTCTTATTAACTTCTTATTCAACATCACATGTAAATTGTCTTAAAAAAATTTTTTAAAAAAAATTGAAGGAATTTTAATGCCTAGAGTAATGATATACAACATATATATGTAGCTTGCAGAAGTGTAGGTATGTTCAAGTCTGAGGGTGTTAAATAAAATGGCAAAATCCAACATATACCTGCTACTTAACAACCTCTTGATTAGCCAATGTTAATTAGCAGCTCAGCTTAAAATATATTTGGGCCAAATACAACACAATTTATTGACAGGTGAGGAATGCAGACCCATTGCATTTGTTTTGATTGTGACATTTTGCTCATAACTCTATTATTAAAAATATCTTCAATCTATGAAAATTGTAGAAATTATTTATAGGCAATGATAACCTCCATGATTAGAGAAAAAAAAATAAGTTGTAATGTTGTAACATGTAAAACTAATATGTATTACAGTATTGTGAGGGAGAGTGGAGCTTCCATATACAGTGTGACAGATGTAGCCAAGCAGGAACTGCCAAATTTAGAACCATCTTTACGAAGTGCAGGTATATAAATCTAAACATCTCTTCACCATCACTTCACGGGTGCATTCCCATCTTTTGTTAGGAAAGAGGTAAACCTGTTGTTACCTATCTAGGAAAACACAGTGTACAAGGTATTGTTCTGAAAATTTCACCATTGTGTGTTTACTTCATGCAGTGTTTCGCATGTAGTGTCCTCAATGTTGCCTCATGTGTTGTTGTTGATGGAGCAGTGCACGAGGTTCACCAATACAACTGAGTTTTATGGTAGGAAAGTGTTGTAGAAAACTAATCACTCACCCCTGCCTGCAGGATGCAGACAGGTAATTCTCAACCCTCGACATAAGGTGTCTGAAGTTAAGCACCCAGCAAATTAAAGCCTCTCGCTTAACTTCACAAATCTCACTTGTGAGTTGAAAGTACCATCAACATTACACAGGAATGAAACATCCTGACTATTAAATACAGAATATAGAAGGATAAAATGACTAATCTTGTCATGTTCCTGTGCAGCTGTGTGGAGATATCTGTAGTGACAATTGACCAGGACACCCTATTTTAGTTTTGTATTGCTTGTTTTGACAGACTTTGAAGGAGTGATGACTGCATGTTGTAATATAAACTATTTCAGTTTCCATTGCCAGACGTTTATTGGACCCTCTTGCTGAGTTTGTGAAGGTTGATCCTAAACACATCGGAGTAGGACAATACCAGGTAGTTATCCTAGTCAGTGAAAGTGAAGGTCAAAGATTCTATTTAAAAGAACTCTACTTTAGAAAACACTTGTAACAAAAGTAGCTTTTTTGATGTAGACCATTGTCTTTAACATTTGTAAAAGGATAAAATCAGTGGATAAAATCAAGGTTATTGGAAGGGCATTACAAAAGGAGACTATTAGAGATACATCTTCAGTCAAAACTTTAGTGAATTTAGTAAAGGTCAGTCAAGTGAGCATGTGAGGTACTACATCCATAGAAAGAGCTGATTGATGTTTGACATTCCAGCATGACATGCCAGAGAAACAGATGCAAACTTCCCTGGACTCAGTTGTGGAGGAGTGTGTCAGCTTTGTGGGAGTGGACGTCAACACGGCTAGTGAACATCTCCTCCGGTAAGTTAC